TATTATTTGTATTTAATACTTTCTCACGTTATACAACAAAACAATATCAATATACAACATCGACGATAAATTTTTTTATCTATTCTTAATAAGTTTATTATATAATTAGTAAAAGAAATAAAAGTGATATACTTACCTAGAATGATGACAACAAGAGAATGACGCAAGGTAACAATGACATGGAAGAATAATGACAATGTCTTAAACAGTAGAAAAAAAGTTTCATCTGTATTTTTTTTTTTTCGCATTAGGACAATTGCTAACAACTAGATAATTATATAAACTTTGTTTCGTAGTAGTAGTTGAATAATCTTTGGAGAAGGGGAGATTTGGAGAGGAGGAATTTAAAAAGAAAAAAATTTCAAAGATTATGAGTTTTGGAGTTTCAAAAATGACAAAATTTGGAGTGAAAGATCTTCATAGAGGAGGAGATTTGAAAGAGTGTATCAACAACATGAAACAAAAAGGAAAATATTTTTTAGGGCAATAATAAGAAAATGAAAAGACGTGAATTACTGATACATAAAAGATTTTCTACATCTTCACACTCATTACAAAAATATCATCATATTTATATTTAAATTGATTATCATATAATCAAGGAAGATAAGATGATGTAAAAATATCATTTTACACTAATGTTTGAGTATAATATTACAACATATCACAATAATAATAGTTAAAATTAGAAATACAAAATCCATGACTTTAGACAAACTCTTTGGAACTTTAAGAGTTTACAAATTACAAATCCTACAAAGCTCTCTAATGCTAAAAAAATAACCATTTAAATAAGATAAGAACTTTAAACCTCTCATTCATCATACAGAATTCTCCAAAATTTTAAAAATACATACACAAAGATACCTACAAAAAATTAGACTACTCAGCTAAAAAGAAAAGATAAATAACCTTATTTCAATATAAAGCTCAAGAAAGAATAAAAGAACAAAGAGAAAATTCAAAAGAGTAAAAAAAAAAATTATAACATGTAGCAAAATGTTAAAAAAAAAAATATTCGAAGAGTTTAAATAAGTATCTCCAATAGAAGTTTAAAAAAAAAAAAAAAAAATCCTTACATTAGCCTTAGAATATTTGCAGAGAAAATTTAGCGTATATTTGGTTAAGAATCTGTCCTTACTTTGTGAATAGATTTGTTAAATCTCAAACATTCCTATTCACGAAAATTAAGAATAACTTATGCTAAAGAAGTATTTGTTTTACACTCTTGAGTTGGTATTGTTATTTGTATTACAATCTTGAGTTAGTATTATTGAAAAAGGAAGAAGTAACATTGAGAGTACTTGTTTTAAGTGTCAAGTAAAATTATTCTTTTATATTTTTTTTAATTAATAAGCCTTTTTTTTTAATTAAAGAAAATTTGTACTTTTCTAACTTATATTTGTTTATTTGACAAAAAATTTACAATATTTTTTCTACAGTCTAGATACTTTTTTCTAAAAATATTTTATTGAGATTAAGAAACTTGATTAAAGTATATTTGTAAACGTTAAAAAATGGAATATATATTTTCAATAATTTTGTTCATAGTAAAAATCTTAGTGATGATTAAAAATACGATGTAGTCTCTCATTGAAATAAATTAGTATAACTTATTGTTATTTTTCTCCCTTATTTTTTTTATTATCTAAAGCCTTCCATTTTTAACTTTTAAATTTTCTAATAAAATTGTTGAACTAAGACAAAATATTCATATTTCATCAAAATCTGTGTTTAGAAAGGAAACATATATATATATATATATATATATATATATATATATATATATATATATATATATATATATATATATATATATATATATATATATATATATATAAAACAATTTAGAAACACAATTTATGATTTGTTTGTTAGAGAGAGAGAGAGAAATTCATGTTATTCATAGAATAGTTTTAAGATAATTATTTCATATTTTTCTATTAATTTAAGGATAATGGTGAATTCTTTAGCAGAACCCTTACATTTTTTTAAAAGTTACTTTTAAAATATTCTTAACCCTTTTTATAATACAAATATTTAATTTTAAAATGATTGGAACTAATTTTCTTTTGTTTATAATAATTTCTTTGCTTGAATGACCCAACCCACTCCTTTTTTTTTTTTTTTTTTGAATTATGCAATAATAAAATTGAATAAAATAAACGTGACACATTTTAATTAATAAAGTACACTGTCATTCTAAACCCGAAAATTCAGGATTTTTTTATGAGGAAAACTAAAATAAAATAAAATAAAATAATAGATATAATTATAATTTTAAGCGATGACTAGCTTCTTACTGAAATAATAAAGAAGTTTGCAAAAGAAAAAAATATATTTCTAATCGAAATTTAATGTGAAATAATAATAAAAATATAGTAGCAATTGACTTGCACCTTAATGTGTATGGGGAAGACAATTGTGACGTTAAATTTGAAGAAAATTACCGTAAGCATTGAGTCAGTGTTGACTGAGTTGAGGTGTTAGAGATGCATGTTTGAATGTTAGTTTAAAGGGAATAGAATTCTTATAATAGAGGGTTGAAGAATGAATTTGTATTGTTTTTGAGGTGACCATAATTGGTGGCATTGATGCCATGCATGTTTATGTCATGCCCAAACCCTTCCATGAGTCGTTAACTATCTCTCCTAGTACGGAGTTAAAGTTTACAGTGAGAAGAAAGACTAATAATTTAATATTTTAAAATTTTTTAATTTTGTAATTAAAAAAATATATCTATTTTTTTATATAGTCCACTCATATTCCATTATTCCTTTTACGATAATATCCTATTAGTGACTCAAAAATAACAGTTTCAGCATTTTTGCGTTGGGGCCTCAACCTTTTAACGTGCCCTTCCTCAAATCAATTCAACCACGTCAATCAATTATTATGCGCCAACAAAGTTGTACAAATCGTTATGATCCGTTTTGGGAATTACCACCTCGTCAAAACTTGTTTGCCTTTTTAATATTCTTGAACCAGACAACATTACCATACTCCGCACCACATCTTTTCTTCTGCCAATGTTCGTAGGAGTGGTTCACAAACTCTCTCCATTGTCAATGCCTCAAGAAAGCATTTTTGGAGAATGAAAACTTCAATTCAACACAAGATTCACTTCACATCTAAAAGGTGCGGACAAAAAATTAAACATGAGAGAATCTCAAAGCATAATTAATTCCAACTCAAAAAATAAAATTTAAATATATATTATTATTGAGGAATCAAGTACCCTAATTTCAATAGGTAAAACAAACCAAAGTGTTAAATTTCTTTGCTTTAATGTCTATAAATGTTTTCTTCTTTACAAATTATGTACCATGTTTCTTATAAATAAACTACAATATAGAATACTCTAATTTAGTAATAAATATTCATTTTTTATTATAAAATTATAAATAAATCAATAAATGGTATCATATTAAAAATATACATAAAATATAAAATATATTAAATTATTTATTTAATTTTTATAATATTTTTATATTTATCATATTATTTGAATAATATATAAATTAAATTATAAATATAAGAATGAATATTTATTTATTAATAACTTTATAAAATAATATTTTTCTTACACTTTGTATTCTTTTTAATTTATATATAAATATTAAAAAAAACATTTTTTTTATTTTGTTTTCTTTGTTATCGAAGAGAATTTTTTTTCTTATTTTTTTATTACTCAATTTCTACATTTTACTTTCTCGAACATATTTTAATAAACGATGAATTATCCGTATAAGTATTTCAAAATTTTAGCAGGATTCGATGTCATTTTATTAAATGAAATATACTAATTGAATTAAATAAGCTATACAAATTAATTTTTTACAGTAGCCATACAACTACTTTTTTATAGTGCTGATTTTATAATATTTATATAAAGATAGAGATTACAGTACTCCAAAGCCTCTGTGTTATTAACTTTTGAATTTAACCCCGTCATCAAGCATTTACGTGAGAATTGAATGTAAATGGGATAACAATTATTATATTGCAGCATACGAGCAAGTTTCTTTAATTAGATTTATTCAAAATCAAAGCAATCCACGGCTCTTTTTTTTTTTTCATAATAACAATTTTCTTAATCTGCAAGTTAACTCATATATCCTGTAATGCCATACAAATATTCAGCAAACATACATAGTTTCATTAATAAAAGCACACAATTATTGAATTGCATTTACTTTTTAGCATAAAAAAACAAAAATCTTACAATTACCTCTTTAGAAGTGGTTTCATAAAGAGATAATATTTGTTTTTGTAAAAAAAAATTACAAATAAAATTAATAAATAAATAATTCAACAATTCGGATTTTATTATTTTAACCACGAATAACACAATTCCACTTGTTGACAAACAAGTATTTATCCAAATATAAGATGAATCGTAATAATTCTAAGAACAAAATAAGTAACACTTAGTTAAGTTAATAACAATTATATATTTTTTTATCTCAAACTAAAAGATGAACTAAAACTAATACAAATAATATGATTTATAAATTTTTTATGTGAGATATTTTAAATAATAAAGATACTTGTTTAATAATTTATTTTTTTATATTGTTATTCATTAATTAATATGTTAGCTTATTAATTCTCATTAAAAATATATTAATTAGAAAGAATATTGCAATAATTGAATAAAAATTGAGATCTGTTTAGTCTCTAAATATTTTTATTTTTTCCATATACACGTCTTAAAAAAACAATTCCACGGTTATACACGTATATAAAAACAAAAATATCTTAATTTGATTGATTGTAGAAAAAAAAAAAAAAAAACATTTTTCCATAGCATATAAATAGTAGTACTCGAAAGGGTTGAAGAGAAGCCGACCCCGGAAGAAGATCCTGAGGTTCAAGTTTGGTCCAAGTTTTAGTTGTTCGTAGCGCCACACACACAAAGTGAGAGAATAAAAGGTTGTTCGAAAATAGTGAAAGGGTGCAACTAAAGTTTCTGAGTTATACTCCTACGTTGTTTTGACATGGCTGTAGATGTGTTTCCCTGGACAAAATCAAAACCCAGGAAGACACAACCTCGTTCCGTTGGTGGAACAAGACAACACAAATGTGGACAAGCACACACAAATTTGTCAACATACAGGAGCAAACGAAGTTTCCCAAACATGGCTTTTAGCCTATGTTTACGCTTCCCAATCATTTCTCTCCTTGTACATTTCCTCCTTGTCGTATCTACCCTTTGTCCTGTTCATTCTTCACAATTTGGTAACCACCCAGTTGCTAATCAAACTTTTCGGCCAAAGGACGAGCTGCGCAAGTTGAACGCCATAAGACTTCGGCTTCAGCAAATCAACAAACCTCCTGTTAAGACAATTCAGGTTTGTGCAAATTATTATTCTGTTCATCTTGTCTTGTTTTTCAGACCATGTTATTTAATTGATAAGCTTGTGTTGTGTTTTTGTGTTTTGCAGAGTCCTGATGGAGATATAATAGACTGTGTTGTGTCTCATAAGCAACCAGCTTTTGATCATCCTCTAATGAAAGGACACAAACCATTGGTATTTATTGTTCTGTTTTTTGTTGTTGTTGTTGTGTGTGTTTTAGACTTCTGGTTTAACTAAACAAATTGGTAATTTTTATTCATCTTTGTGTGTGTAGGATCCTCCAGAAAGACCAAGAGGGCATAACCAAATGGATGATTTGAGTGAGAACTTTCAGTTGTGGAGCTTGTCTGGTGAGTCGTGTCCAGAAGGAACAATTCCGATTAGAAGAACAAGGGAGGAAGACATGTTAAGAGCTAGCTCTGTTCGCAGATTTGGAAGGAAAAAAATACTGAAACGTGTCAGAAGAGACACCAGCGGCAATGGACATGAGGTATAAACTAGAGCAATCATAGAAAGCAACACAAACTCTGATATTCTTTTCTATCTTTCCCTTTTCTCTTTTTCTCAAAGGAAGTAAAGTAAGAATAAACAAATTATTTTAACAGAAACAGATAAGAGTAATTGGTAAAGAAGAAAGCATATGGCAGTCGAATGTTTCCTGTTTTTTGTCATACCCTTTTGAAAGTTAGGTAAGTTAAACCACATCAGAGCATTGTATTCCACCCTATTTTACAAATTTTCAGTTCATTTACTTTGAAACTGAACATGGCAATGAACTTCTCCTAATCTTTGAGAAAAGCAACGAAAAGCTAAAATGGATTCTGAACAAAAACATAGCAGTCTATAATTTATTAATATATAAATAATAAACGGGTCTCAACCATAAAATAGTTTTTTTATTTGATAGTGAAACATCATCTTTTTTCCATTTATACTTTCATAACGATCACAGAATTCCATGTTTTGCAGTCAGTTAAATATTTGTTTCTATTGTTGCTCCGAAGGAAGAAGGTCTTTTTAAGTGTTTTTTTATTCGTGTCTGAGCTCCAACTAGCTCTATCTTCTATAGAAACTTGACAACCAGAAATGAACTTAGAACTTAATTTCTTCTAGGAACCTTAATTTTGCTACGTTGAAATTGGTCTAACAAAAGTTTGTGGGTGCTGCACACTGCACAGCATGCAATTGGGTATGTGACAGGGGATGAGTACTACGGAGCAAAGGCTAGCATAAACGTGTGGGCACCCCTTGTGGAAAACCCAAATGAATTCAGCTTGTCTCAAATGTGGGTCATTTCTGGTTCATTTGCGGATGATCTTAACACCATTGAAGTGGGTTGGCAGGCATGTTGCTATCATTACTTCATCTTAATTAATTCTTCATTTACTTTGTACTATTTATTTTCTTCATCTTTCAATTTTTTTCTTAAATGCATTCCATTTGGTTACGCATTCAAAAGGCAGTTAGCATATTCAACCACCTACCTCTCATTTTCACCCATGTATTAAATTTTGTACTTTAGCCAATCAAGCTAATTTCAAGTAATTTTCCATGCAGGTCAGCCCAGAGCTATATGGGGACAGGTACCCTAGATTCTTCACTTATTGGACGGTAAGTAAATTTATTGAAGGAAAGGAGGTGGAAAAGCTTACTACGTATATTAATTATTTTTGCTTCAAAAAGTTTATTCAAAACCACTAATACTAACAATAATAATTGTCATTATTTGCAGACAGATGCATATCAAGCAACTGGCTGTTACAATTTACTCTGCTCAGGCTTTGTTCAAACAAACAGTAAAATTGCAATTGGAGCAGCAATCTCTCCAACTTCTTCATACGGTGGTGGCCAATTTGATATTAGCTTGCTCATCTGGAAGGTAATTTTCTGGTCACATCACCCATTGACTTTGTTATATATCTCTAAACATGTTCCTATTGTTTCTGGTTTTGTCTTCTTTTTTTTTTTCTTTTGTCTTTGCTTTACTATTTCTATCAGTCGGGTTCAGACACAGTTTTTACTGTTGAGGAGGAAAGTAAAGCTTTGTCTCACTGGTCATATATCAAACTATTTAAGGTTCACTTTCTTAATTTAAGGTTAATGTTTTAAGATAATGTATTGTTGAACAAGATCAGGTTATGAGTCCCATCTAAAAAATAAAGCTTTGAGTTTTGATGATAGAAGAGTGACGTCTACCATTGGATCTCAACACTTCGTTTTTTTCAGTCCAGCAAAATATGAAAATCTCATAGTCAAAGGAGCCGGAAACTAAAAGGAAAATCCAAACTGAAAAGATGCTGAATGTGGGGCTCTCCACAATTTCGGAAGTTTCTTAATACCTTTGAATTATGTCATTATATAGCTAATAAAAAAATTGGGAAAAAAAATACTCTTATTTCTCTAAAACTTTCACAACTCATTATTAATTCTTAGTCTCTTTAATTTTAAAATACTCTATTTTTATTTTTAAAAGTGCTTTAGATAAAAAATTTATAAAGAAAAAAAAATAGACAGCATTTGAGGGATACAGAAGCTTTTTAAACAATTAAAGCTGAACTTGAAAAAAATATAAAAAGGCAAAAAAAAATAATTCCTATTTTATCTTAAAAAAAAAACTAATTTATAAACAATGTTTTATTGGGAAGTCATAATGATGCGATAAAATGATGAAATTCTGTAAAATATCTGTGTAAAAATATTGTAATAATTAGGCGTATAAATTAAGGAGTTGGAAAATAAGTAAAGACAAGGTGATTACGGTAATGATTTAAATGAAAATATAAAACCAGTGCAGAGGAAAAGGGAAACAAAAATTGTGTACAGTGCACACTTTACTACGGTGGAACATCACACGCGTGCATACGAATAATGTACTGTAACACCCATATGCTTTTCTTCTTTAAGATTCTTTTTCCTTTTCCAACTAAAGAGATTATACATTTCTGACCACCTCACCTTTCTTTTTTCTTTTTCGATATCCATCAGTTTTCTAACGTTTTAACAAAATCCCAACATTTTTGCATATTTCATTCACCACCTTTCATGCAGCTCTTTTTGACCCATGTCTCTTCTCATGCTGGCCAACCTGTTGCTGTAAATGATTATGTCTACGTGTTGAGTAGCTTTGCTTTGTAAATTGTGACAAAAATAGAAGGGTGTGATTGAAGGTTTGGTTCTTTTTTTTTTTTTGAGCAGGATCCAAAGCATGGGAATTGGTGGCTTGAATTTGGAGCAGGGACCCTTGTTGGGTACTGGCCATCGTTCTTGTTCACGCACTTAGGGGATCATGCAAGCATGATTCAATTTGGGGGAGAAACAGTGAATTCAGCCTCATCAGGGTCTCACACTTCCACTCAAATGGGTAGTGGACATTTTGCAGAGGAGGGTTTTGGAAAAGCTTCATATTTCAGGAACATGCAAGTTGTGGATTGGGACAACAACTTGATTCCCTTGTCAAATCTAAAGGTTCTAGCTGATCACCCCAATTGCTATGACATACAAGGAGGGGTTAATAATGCATGGGGGAATTATTTTTACTATGGTGGACCTGGAAGAAATGTAAAGTGTCCCTAAGGGAATGAATGATAGAGAATCATAGGTAGAGATCAATCCTTTGCTTTTTCTTTTCTTCTTTTTTCTTCTTTTTTTTATCTTTAATTTCTTTTTGGCATTTCTGGGTTTTGGTCATAGATTTTCTTCTCAAGTTCAGCCAATGAACTTGGGTCATTTATTCTTATAATAAATTAAGGTTCTTATTTATTATTTTTTGTTTTTTTTTTTTTGAGTAACAGGTTCTCCATTGAAACCCAGCATTCTCCACCTGGACTCTTTTTTGTATATCTTGAAATAGAAATAATGCATATATATACTGCCTTTCATTCTTCTTTCCCATCTTCCTTTTTCCTGCATAATTGTTCATAATGGTACTTGCCATGAGTTCATATAATTTATAACAATATCTGGCCCAAATATAATTTTGTAACATCTGAACCAAATCAAAACTCGTGTTAAATTTGTTTGCGTTCATAAATCAAGAAAACCATTACTTCAAGGACTCAGAAAATCCAACACTGGTCATACAATTTGCTTAAGGAAAAATATCGGTGCAGAAATCTTACAAAAAAAGAATGAAATGTAATGAATGATGATGTAATCCTGGAAAAAGACAAACGTTCAAAATCTTGGATGAATATTTCTTTCTTGACAGAGTGACTTCATAAATGTTAATTTTATAGTATTAATATGCATAACTTGGGTGAAAAGTGTTATTAATAACTTTGAGTGAAGAGAGAGAAATTGATTTTAAGTGGGAAAAAAGTTGTTTTTTCGAGAAAAAGAAAATCTATTTCCATGTATTGTTTTGTTGACAAGTATATATTTCTTTTTTACAAATTAAGTAATATATTTATTTCAAGTTAATAGGAATATGACAAAAAATTATAAAAACGATAGATAAATTTGAGGATGAAATTTACTGTCTAATGGTCTCTTAATAATAATAACGGATTTTAGATAATGTGTAAATATATATTTAATAAAAATTATATATAAAATATTATAAGATATTAATAGATATTTGCATGTAGATTTTCATATGCTAATATAAATTGAAAGCAATTTCCATAAATTATGCTTAAGAGTTTATGGAAAAAAAAATATTGAAAACAACATCATAAGTTATTTGCTAAGTTCTTTCAAACCGTTGACCAAAAAGTTTATATTATAAGTTTAAATAAGCTGTAAATAAAGTCTTCAATTTAATTGGTATTTATTGTGTTATATGTGTATATGCGTTAAGTTTATGAAATATAAAATTATTTTTAATCAAAATAAAGTTTTAAATAAAATATGTTAAAACGAAATTTATATTAAAATAATCTTAAGTTCTCAAGTTAAAACAAAATAACCTTTTTTCTTGAATACGTTTTTAATAATTATAAAATGAGTGAATCTTAAATTTGGTTCTGTAGAAATTATTCTTTAATTTTATTTATTTAAAATTAAAAATTATCATCATAGTATTATATGTCACGTATTACGAAAAAAAACTTAAGATCGATAATCTATCGAATATTATAGACTAAAAAATAGTAATTTAAAATTTTTAAAGGATAAAATTTAAAAAAATTACAAAAATTAAAATCAAAATTTATATATTTAATAATATAATAAAAGAATCTTGTTCATCATAACATTATTAGAATAAATTTCTATGTTTAATATTGTTTATTTTAAACCTCTTATTTATTATAATTTTATCTTTAAAAAATATTTTGATGGATTTAAAGAAAAAAATATATAAATTACTTGATTAAGAGTCATGAACTACTATTATAATATTTGGAGATTTACTGTTTCAAAGGATAGAAAAGCGGGATGTTATTCGTTTGTTGCAACTGATATGAGAGGATATGCAGGCGCGGATTTGAGGGAGAGGGGAGGAAAGCTCACCCTCTTTCACAAAGAGGATTTGAGAGGATAGCAGAGAAAGACACATCATCAAATAATAAATGACTTATTTACCCTTCTCCATCTCCTGCATGTGAACACACAGTGCATCCACGCCTGCTCGCGATGGTTGTATATGATAGCGGTTAAATCTTAACCGCTATTATAATAGCACTTCTAATAGCGGTTAAAACTTAACCGCTATTATATAGCACTTCTAATAGCGGTTAAATCTTAACCGCTATTATATATTTTCAGATAATCAAAAACTTGTTGTATATGATAGCGGTTCCCCCAGAACCGCTCTTAAAAACAACTTGTAATAGCGGTTAAACCATAACCGCTATCTAATATATATTTTAGATAGCGGTTACAGACAAACCGCTATTATATCCTCCAATTATGATCGATCATATCAAATTATGATCGATCAGGATGGTATTTCGCTCGAGCGAGATATAGTCGCTCAAGCGAAACACAACCCGAGACTCAAGAAACTTAAAATATGGTTGTATATAGGGAGCTTATAATAGCGGTTAAACCTTAACCGCTATCTAATATACACTTTAGATAGCGGTTACAGAGGAACCGCTATTATATTCTCCAATTATGATCGATCATTTCAAATTATGATCGATCAGGATCTTATTTCGCTCGAGCGAGTAGTATCGCTCGAGCGAAATACAACCCGAGACTGAATCTTAAAATATTTTTTTGACTATTATGTTTTTTAATTTGCTATTAGAGAAAACCTTTCAGAATTCAAAATGTTAAATAATTTTAAATATTAAAATTAACTTTATCAAAAATGAGGAAAACAAAATTTATCCAAAAGAGTTCAAAAATGTATAAGAGTATTCTCAATTTTGAGTTTAATTATATTGTTCATTCTCAAAGTAGAAATTTATATTGTAATTATTTTAATTTACATTTTGTGATCTTCTTAAAATTAGCATCAATAACATTAGACTTTACATTTGATTCATACCTAACTAATTATAGATTAAAAGGAAAGTGGTATAACCATGCATTTTACTTTTCTATTTACCTTATTCTTTTAATTATTTTATATAATAATGATCAAAATATTCACATTCATATGGGCATTTTCGAAAATAATATTATTGTATTATTGTTAAAATTAGCATCAATAACATTACACTTGATCTTCTTAATTATATTGTTCATTCTCAAAGTAGAAAATTATATTGTAATTATGTTCAATTTATTAAAAGTGTAATTAAATCTCTATTTTCTTAATTTTTTTTGTTTCAAACTTCTCAATTCTACATTTTTGTAACTTCTATCATTATATTATCATCTTCATCTCCTCCCATGTTCTACTTTATCTTTACAATAGTTAATATTCTTAAATAATCTATATTTTTAATTATAATTTTTTAATATATATTTCACAAATTAATTAATTCTAAGCTATTATTTGAAAAACTAATCAATTCTAATCAATAATTTAGAAAAATAATCTATTAGAATTAATTATTTGAAAAAATTATCAAATATGATCGATCATTTCGAAAATCTAATCGATCAGAATCAAATTTCGCTCGAGCGAGATATAGTCGCTCAAGCGAAACACAACCCGAGACTCAAGAAAATTAAAATATGGTTGTATATAGGGAGCTTATAATAGCGGTTAAACCTTAACTCGCTATCTAATATACACTTTAGATAGCGGTTACATGAGGAACCGCTATTATATCCTCCAATTATGATCGATCATTTCAAATTATGATCGATCAGGATCTTATTTCGCTCGAGCGAGTAGTATCGCTCGAGCGAAATACAACCCGAGACTCGAATCTTAAAATATTTTTTTGAATATTATGTTTTTTAATTTGCTATTAGAGAAAACCTTTCAGAATTCAAAATGTTAAATAATTTTAAATATTAAAATTAATTTTATCAAAAATTAGGGAAACAAAATTTATCCAAAAGAGTTCAAAATGTATAAGAGTATTCTCAATTTTGAGTGGAAGTGATTGAATGATCTGAACCTGGAGGACTTGATCGCAAAAGATGAATAACATTATAATTATTTGTTTGAAGAGCATTAGTGTGCATAGGTTTATAATTTTAGTAATGTTTCATTTAATTATTATTCTATTTTCATTGTATTTTATATTTGTTTTAAATAATAATGTACAATTATATTATTAGTTTTCATAATTATTTGTTATTATCAGATCAATATTAATTATTATTTTATATTTTATAATTATTTAATTATTAGTCAAATAATTTATTTAATATGTCAAAATTATAATTTATTTATATAATTTTTAATAACTTGTATATATATATATATATATATATATAAATATAATTTTATATCAAAATTATATATTCTAAAATATAATTTATTTTCATTTCTATAATATATATATATAAATGAAAATAAGTTATATTGTGGAATATATATTTATATTATAGTAATTAATATAAATAATATTTAACAATATATATATCCATTAATAAAAGTGCAGTTTTAATGTGTTAAAATTTCTTTTAATCCATTAATACGTTCTTGATTCTTTAACAGATTTGTTTTAAGCGATACGACAACGTTTATATCAATTAAAACACTTTACAAAAATCTTCTAAGTTGATTTAATCGATTGTTTCGCGATTCAATCGATTGAAATACTCGCAAAACTTTCTCGTACAACTTTTCAAGTTATTTTAAGCTGATAAAAATAAGTTTTAATCGATTAAAGCAGCTGTCAGAAATTGTTTTAATCGATTGAAACGAGATTTAATCGATTAAAATATTTCGATCAGTCATAAGCTGCATTCTGATTGATCATAATTGAAACGATATAATAGCGGTTCCAGGTTAACCGCTATCTAAGTGAGATTTTTAAGAGCGGTTCTGCGTAATCGCTATCTAAACTCTATCTCGCTTGAGCGACAATCTTCTCGCTCGAGCGAAACGCCCCTGGACAAAATTGGCATTCTCGGGTTGTATTTCAGCTTGAGCGACTCTAGTTTCGCTCGAGCGATATTTTCACTCGTATTTTATTCTATTTTCACTATATTTTATATTTGTTTTAAATAATAATGTACAATTATATTATTAGTTTTCATAATTATTTGTTATTATCAGT